AATCTACAAAAAATATAGGTAAAGAGACAACTCGTCTCAAGTTGGTGGACAGGCTTATCTTATTTTAAAACACACAGTGTCCGTGAAGAACATAGTAAGAGACTGATCTTTTCCCATGTTTCATGCTTGTTTGTTTGCTTGTTTGTTTTTCTCTGTAGAAGGAAAATCAGTAAAAAAAAAATGGCAAAATAATCTTTATTTGACCCACGTTCCCGCATCATTTTTGAACTATTCTCATTTCTGAATGAGTTGTGCTGCTCCATTGGTGCTAGTTCTCCTGTGTGTTAGGGTTAACAACTGGAGCTGCGGCTGCTGCTCAGGCCTATTCATCTACTGAGAGGATTACACATTCACAGAAAAGATTATGCATCTGCATAAAGGAYTTAAGGCAGAATACAAAGACACAGAATCCCAGATTACCTGAAAAAAATAGGATTCAGAGCAGACAGAAAAACAGCATAGAGGCACTAAATGATGCAAGAATTACGCTAAAAATGGATATACTTGCCAAAAATGAGACATAATGACATAATTTCGATTCCAAATTTTCTAGCCAAAAATGAAAGAGAAGCATAGTCATCTACACAACTAATGAYAACCAAAAAAAAAAAAAAAGGAAGACAATAATTGTCTAAGAATAGGAGAACAGGGCCATATATAGAATTAAATTCAGAAGAAAATTTCTTCCACAASTCATGGTTATAAAAATATGCTTTGTGATGCACCATCACTTCAAGCCCATAGATCCTCTACAGCTAATTGATGTCTTGTCCTGTTCTCTTCTAGAAGGTCTCAAGGAGACATCTGTTTGGAAGAGAATTTTCATTTTCTTTTCTTTTCATTTGTCGGATGTCTCCTTCTTGTTCAATTTTTCCTTATTTTTTTTCTTTCTTCCTTCACCCCCACTTCCCCTCTACCTCCTTCCTTTTGTTCTTCTTCCTTGAGTAGTAACCCATGTGTCCTCTCTTAAAGTATTAAGGGGATTTGTCTGTAGATTTTTTTATTTGCTATTTTYGGTGGTTTTGATAGAAACACTGTGCTTTCTTCATTGAAAAAGAAAACGGGGCACTTTATTTTATTTTCTTTGTTCAGGAATTGTTTAATTAGTATTAGAGATTTCCACTCAAAAAATKGGTTGGGCTAGACCTTGAAGCCATCAGTTTCCCACAGGAGGGAGAGGAGAGGTGCATAATGGTGATCATTAGAGGTCTTTGACAACTCTACTTTTTAAAAAAAAAAAATTGGTCTGTTTCTTTTCTTTATGGACAGTTTTGAGAATTTACATTGTTATGGGGAATCATCCAGTTTTTAAACTTAATTGCATATATGTGTGTGTGTGTGTGTGTGTATCTTTTAATTTCCTTGCTTTTTGTATTTATTTTCTCACTTTAATGTCTTAATTCAAGTATTTGTAAATTTTCCCCTGATTATACTCATGATTTTCTAAATTTTGTTCACTTGTAATGTCAGCTGTTTTATAGCTTATTAATTTCTATATTTTTAATTTATTCTTCTTGAATTTAATCTGTTTTCATTATTTTTTTAGTTTAATGCTTAATTCACTTATTTTAATTATTTTATATTTAGCAAAATAACTTTTACATGTTATGAATTTAACTCAGAACAACTTCCAATTTATACTACAGGGGCAAGTGATATCTAATAGTTTCCTTGCCTTTACTCTCTAAATATTCTGTAATTTTTCAAAAGTCATTTAAACAGGCTTTTAACTGTTAGGTCTTTGATATCTTACTTTCTTTGGATATATTTAATTGCACGGTGTACAGTGATATTGTCTGCTTATACTTTTTAAAAAATATGTTATTTAGTGATAGATGAACACAATGCCTTTATTTTATGTATTTATTTTTATGTGGTGCCGAGGATTGAACCCAGTGCCTCACATGTGCAAGGCAAAAACTCTGCCACTGAGCCACAATCCCAGTCCCTGCTTCTACTTTTTAAGGTTTATAGTTATCATTGTTACATATGCCAAAAGTCTACAAATGAAGCATAAACATTTGTAAACGTAATCTTTCTTTTCAGAGCATGGATATTAATCATTTCAATAAACTGACATTAATTAAGCTACTTTAGTCTTTATATTTATAATGATTATTATTTGATTTAGTATGTTCTAATATGAAATAAGTGAACTAAAATCTAATACTACCAATGTGATTTTTTTATATTACACTTTTCATCTTTGTAATTTTACTTATGTATTATTTTGAAGTTATATTCTTGGTATGATAATATTCATAATGTCATATGTTGGTCTTTACAAGGATTACATGTTGAGCTCCTCCCCAAAAAGATAGGTTGAGGTTCTAGTTCTAGGACCTCAGAATATGATTTTGTTTGGAATTAGGGTTTTTGCAGATGCACTCAAGTTAAATGAGGTCACACCATGGGTTCTAATCCAACGTGACTTGTGATCTCATACAAGGGGAAAGTTTGGACACAGGTAAATAGACAGACAGACASACASACACACACACACACACACACACACAYGCACATACATACACACACCGGGACAACAGCATGTGAACATAAAGGCAGAGGGAAACGTGATGTGTTTTCATGCTAAAGAGTCTTAAGATTTCCAGCAAATTTCCAGAAGACAGAATACAGGCATGGAGAAAAGCATGGAACATTCTCCCTTGCAGCTTCACAGGCAAACAACACTGTCAATGCCTTGATCTGGRACTTCTAGCCAGCAGAACTATGAGACAATACATTGTTGTTGTTTTAAGCCATTGTTGGTGGTGCTTTTTTATGTGAGTGAGTTCTAGAAAATGAATACGAGTTTTTTTTTTTGCTGTGAATTTAACTTACATGATATCAAAAATTTTCTAATTTCTATTGTCATTTGCCAGTATACCTTCCATGATTTCTTTGTTTTCAGCCTTTAGTGCCTCTTTAATTTAAAAACATGATCAGATCATGTCAACCCATTCATGCTATAAGATCCTAGATGGCTTCCCTTACATTAGTATACAATGGTTCCTTTTGAGAACTTTGTCTCCTTCCTGTGAAGCACAATCCCTTGAACTATTCTCCAGTCTCTTTTCAGACCTTACTGTCTCCCACCTTCCATGGTCTCTAAGACTATGAAACTTCTTTTGGTACTTGTGGTAACCTGAGCTCTTTACTTCCACAAGTTTGTTTCCTTTATCTGCAATCCTGTTCCCTTCACTCTTCAATTGCATTAGCCTACTAGTTATTCATGTTTCAGCTCAAATTTTGCCTTTTCAGAGATTTCTTCTCTTATCCCTCTATCTAATGGGATCTATCTCCTTAACAAGCACAACTTGCAAACTCATCATTCATAATACTATGGGTTAGCATCTGAATTTATTGATTTAGGTATGTATCTCCTCTACCACCACCAGAATTAAGTTCAAGTCTCTTGCCCACAGTTTTTATCATGTCTAGAGTACTGACCTAGCATGTGGTTGACTATTTGTTTAAAAAAGTAAGGGAATTTCTATGAAAACACAGAAAAGACAAATAGAAGGAAGGAAATCTAAAATCCATTTCATTCTCTTCTCATTCTTTCCTAAACATTGACTTGGAACCTCTAATAAACTCAATTATGCCTTTTGAGATAGAGTATTTATTCTAATCTAACATTTATTCCATTTCTTCTGGTGTTCCAACTAGATCATCATTAGATGTTACAGGTTGAAAGGACATTTCCCCCATCATTACAGGAATTTCTACTGGTGCACAATCAATGATAAGTTCTTTCTCACCTGCCCCCATACGCAATGCTCCTATGGTGGGTGTTATAAGATGTCTTCTGCTTCCCTCTAGTGCCCTTTAATGTGTTCTTCCCAGTATTATATACACTCACATAGTCAAATACGACTTGAACAGTTGAAGAGATCCTAACCAAGAAATCCTTGATGTAATCAAAGAGAATCGCAAAATCCTCCGCAACAGGTCATACCCACAGGGATTTCAGGAAAAGAAACTGAAACTTTAGAAGACAGAAGAAAGGGAGGCACACTCCCGGATGATCACCATTTCATGCAGCTTTAATGAAAGCACTTTTACTTATATACTTCCAAGCAAACTTTAGCAGTTGATTATACCTGAATTAGCAACACCAACTAGAAAAGAGCCATGTTTTTGCTAATTATAAAGAACAAAGTATGATCTTTAGATCATGTGAACCTACTTCCACTATATCACCATCTGATGGCAGCACATCCCAGATCATAGAAGGAATTTCCTTGCTATTGCTTTAGAACAAACTGTACTGTTGAAATCGTGATCACTGCAATGTTTGTTGATAGGGCATCTGCTATTCCCAGACCATGGGAAACACACATTTTCATGACACAGTCTTTTCTCAGGGTGTTCACAGTGCACTAGGGGAGAAAGGCATGTGTCTAGATAATTTTAATAACAGTGTCCAGTGGATTTAACAGAGGCTAGAGGAGGASCTTTTAGACTGATGTGGGGATAAAGTATGATTCCCTGAGGATACAATGCCTAAACTAAGTTGTAATATGTTCAAGTTACTGAAATTACAATGAGAAGTAAAGCAGTGGAAACCATGGAGAGGCAAAAACAGCTAGTTTGTGTAATGAAGAAAAGAGAAAGAGGTCTGTTGGAATCAAAGAAGGGGAAAGTAGGTGTACATTTTAGGCTAGATTAGTGCACCAAATGTCAATTTTGAAAAAATATTCACCCATCTACTAATAAAGAGAATAAAATCCACACAACCTTGGCCCTAATTTATAGCTTTCTTTCTTGTAAACATCTAGCAATACTATAACCTAATGCCCAGTATTATATTCAGTACAGAGATAAGTAAAGCACAAGAATGGATAGAAAGTGGTAGACACAGGGAGGTGGGGGTGGGGAGGTAGATAAAACCACTGGAATAGTAGATGCTTACTTGGGTGAAAAAATTGCACATACTGAGCCTTAATCATATCTGTGGCTTAAGTCCATTAGCCAGTTAACACTGAGAACATACTTACCAGCACTTGCCCCACAAAGGTCTGTGCTGAAAGCAACATTTCTATACGATCACGGAATACTCCATAAAAATAAAGCCTTCTTAAAGTACTGCTGTGAAAGCTACCTGATGAGAGGAAATCCTATAAACAAGAGAAAGAAATCAACAGAGTGAGATGTAACTCAGAGAATGCTATCTGCCTTATTTCTGTTGATGAAGGCTCTTATCATGGTATCAGCCAGAGATCACTCTTCCTTGCCCAACACACAGAACATCAAAGATGCTTATCCAATATCTCATAGAATGTATCTTACTGAGTTTGTCTCTCTGAATTTTCTGCACAGCTTTGTTCTTTCGGAATTCTGCAGTCTTTATGCTTGCCTTTCTTGCCTATTCTGAGCCCCAGACCCTCCAAACTGACATGGCTGTCATGTTCAGAACTGGGAGCAGCAAGCTGCTTTCTGCTCCAGGAATGGGTGTTTTTACATATTTCCATCAAAATACACAGATGAAAGAAAAATTTATAAAGGATATACAGTGATATTTAAGTGATTGCTCAAATATCTGATTTTTTTTTWAAACAACAAGGAGGGTGGAGAGTTGCAAAAATGTTTTGTTGCCTTTGCTTTCTTACCTGGTATCATATTCTCCCCAATTCACCATCTTTCCTTACATCTGCAGAACACTCCTACTTATTGTATTTTAAATGTTATCATAATAGGATGTGGTAGAGTAGGTATGATTAAATCAATTTTGCATTGCTAAAGAAACTAGGTTATAGAAGAATGAAATAATTTGCTCAAGAGCAGTGTCCATGTCTGTTAACAGAGTCTAGAATAGTCAGAGAGAGGGATGCTGAATAATAAGGGCAGCCACAAGCTGACCGAGTCCTTTGGATTTTCTGAAAAGCTCATTTTACATGGAGCTAGGGTTTCAAGATCATTCAGTTTTTATACTTATATTTTCTGAACGGTATGTAGGGAAGCCTCATTAAAAGAGTCTGATGGAGTAGACATCCTGATCAATGGTTTTGTCCTTAAATACATGTGACTCAGAATGTGCATTCCTGAGATGTTGTCTGAGAATAGATTTTATCAAAAATACTTAATATGGTGTTAATATGGAATACTCATTTGAATTTCATCTTAAAACTGGAGGCACCATCTGTGGAAAAAAGTTGGCTCCAAGATATAATTGAATCATACTTATGGAGGTAGTAAATCCTTGAGAATGGGAAAATTATAACTCTCCAAATAATTTTTAAAAGAAATGTTCACAGTAACAATATTTGTGACATTTTTGCATTTGGCCAACATTTCCTAAGGCTTATTTAAATATAACAAATTATTGAGAAGAGACTCAAACTTTCTCAAACATTGTCYTTAAATTTGAAAGCAGAACCTGTAGTATTCTGGCTGCTTTTACCCAGGTTCTTAACATTTTGTAACACTTGTTTAATATTTGAAATTAAAAGATATACCTGGACTGAATTATAGACAAAGTTGGAGATAAAAAATATAATAAATATGAACTGACAAATATGTTCATGTTTTCACAATTACATAAAAATGAATCTAAAGGAGAAGAAAAAAATACTTCCTATACCAAGACTCAGGAGATTTTAAAATTCTACAAATTCTGTTGCATAGTTTTCAAAAAATAAATATCTGGAGGCAGATTCGCCATGTCTATTTACACCTAAGTCAGTATCTCAGAATTCTTTCCCATATTTTTGTGCCACTGCTTAAATTCTTTAATGTAGAAATAATTATTACTAGCATGAACTCAGCTATAAAATTTATAAATTTCAACATTGGTTACATTTTATAGAAACCTAAATTGCATATTACCCATAACTTTTAAAATTTACTGCATAATTGTACATTATATTATTTTATATTGCTCTTTCATGTTAAACGTTTTAAACAAATTTTCTATATTAATTATGAAGCACAGGTAATATGTATTCTATTATATGAATTACTATAAACTGTTGGGAGAACAAAATTTGAGAGACAAACTGGAAAGAAAACTACACAGGGCGTGGTAAAACACTTTGCCTTTGACGTTTAGTTATAGAACAGTCATGAGGCAGCATTGAGAGCTTTATTTCAAACTCYTAAGCAATGCCTCCTCTTATTAAGGTGTCCTTTTTTCTTATCATCATCATTCGCCAGCTGTTATTCCACAACACCAACACTTGCAAAGCTGACTTGGGTATAAAAACTGTCTGTGTTTGTGGCTGATGTAGGTGTATTGTGTTGGCATCATACATGAGAGACAGCATACTCATGTGAGCACATAAACGTGGATGATTTACTAAAGTGAGGGTGACATTGATAACTTGTTCCTTTTTGCCTTCCTGTGCCCTGTGGTACCTAAAACAATTGTCTTTTTAAGATTATAAGTAGAGTACAGACATTATAGTTATGGACATTTTTTTTTTTGTCAGAATAGTGACCTCAGTTTCCAGAACTGACATTCATCATCAGAAACAGATGACACTGTTTCCCCCCAAGGTGAGTGGGTGAAAACAGGTCTACAAGCTTTGGAATGGTGGCCTGGGGTCCTATCTCCCTAAGATTAGCCTGATAATTTGAGTGAAGCCTAAATTGTTTGTTCGACACAAACACATGCCAAACCTATCACTAATCTTCCTACAGAGAGGTCCCAAATAAGGAAACTGACCAAGACAAATCCGGTTCCCTGGAAGTTTCCCCCTTTTTTTATGATTCTCCAGAGAAATCTGCACAGGAATAAAATGATGAGTCCACTGAAGAAGGTCACAAAGGAGGAGAGGATAAACGCTGCCTGGACCTCAGATGTGCAGGTCGTTTTCCCAAAGTCTTCCCCATTTTCCTCTTGTAGCTTAGCTTGATACATCAGGAGACGGAATGGTCGGGTTATTCTGTGATGTCATGGTGGCATGGTAACCGTTCCAGGAAGTAGAGTTCATGGTATTACAGCATCTGAATGCCGCATGACGACCAATGAGGAGTTCCGGGGGAAAGGACTCCATCCACCATGCTACCATGCTGCAGGCTTCAAGTTGGTCATCACCTGGGGACTGCTAGGACCTCACCACATGGGTAGTCAGAAGATGARGTCGCTAGATCTGATGGTTACATTCATTCTCTCTGACCTCAAGGGAACCACATCCTCTGGGACCATGATCCTACTGATTTGGTAGCTAGCTAACTGTTTGGCTTATTTCATCAAACAATCCCCAAACAACTTTTTGGGTGAAATAACATTCAACCCATATGCATGTGGATGAGTTGGTTCTATATTGGACAGCAGGCCACACCCTCAATCATATCAGACGAACAGAGGAGGAAAGCTTCAAATTTTTATCATTTTAAAAAGTTGTAGATATGTAGGATACATTGTTCTATATATCCAGTGTGTAACACAAAGAATAATTAATAATATTTTAGTATATTCCAAATTTTTGCTAAAATAGTGGACGCTAGGTGCACTGGCCACATGCAAAGGTGAGATGTGATTTTAATTTGACTATAGTAACCATTTCATTAGGTATGCATGTTATCAGCACATTATGCTGTTTTCATTGAATAAATATAATTTTGAGAAAACAAGATGCCTTCAAACTGAAATAATTTTTTTWAATTTTCCTTTGAATGAGATAAGTCTATCATACAGCACTGTAAAGAGCAGTTTTAGTAGTGCAACCATTGTTTGGTTACTACTTCAGCCTGTAGATTGGGTTTCCTTATCCCTTCTTTTGGAGACCCTCCTCTTTCTTGCTTTTATTCTTACACTGTCAGAAAAATGATTGGCCCATCAGAAGTAAAATTCAAAATGGGAGAAATTCATTGTATCTAGGTGTTTTCAGAGGTATGAGAAATAYCCTACCTTACAGTGTGCACAGGTGGCAGTTGAAATATCAGTCTGATGGAGGGCCTGGTTTGCACCAGTCACCAGGAAGAGGACCCGACAGGAGCAGACGAGACATAGGGGAAATCATGTGATCCCTGGGAGCCCACCATGACTTTGCTCTGGGGAAGGCTATTCTCTGAAGAGAGCAGGAGCAATTCCTAGAACTGCTGCCAGTCATACTTCCTTCCTTGACACTTGCATTTTCACAGCATCTTGTCATTGAGCTAGGGTGAGATTATGATGAACTCTGGTCTAGCAGTTAGAAGTCCTGAACTCAAGCCTGGGTCCTTCGGCTGAGTTCATGTGTAATGTCTACCAAATCACTTTAATTTTCACGGTCTGATTTGATGKCAAGGACAATACCTACTTGATATAATCATTGTCAAGATTCAAAAACATAGCATGAACATATTTTGAAAAGCATAAAACAAAGAATAACAACAACAAAAAATGCCAGTATCATGTCAGTTCCTTTTCTTAGTAGCACTGATTATAAAGGAAGGAAGAGATGACAAAGGAAGAGAGTGAGAGGCAGAGAAGAAGGAAGGGAGGAAGAAATCATTTGTTCCTTAGACATGCATGAACTCTCTCCTCTCTCCTCCTCCTCCTCCTCCTCCTGTCTTTCTCTCTCCCCAGCCTCTTCCTCTGTTTCACACACACACACACACACACACACACACACACACACACACACGCTTGTAGTTATTCAGACAACAAGATCAGAGTTTCCAAGTCAAAATTTACCCATATCCCTGAGTCTGCTTTCTCTTAGGTAATGATTAAGCTATCACCACCAATGTATTTTCCCATTTTCTTGATTTCTGCCACTCAATATTTWCAAAGTATTTCAGTCCTCTCGAAGGTATCCCTGGCATCTTTTTCCTTTTCCCCATTTGATTCAGTTCAAACACCTARGTGGTTTGTTTCTCTAATAATCTGCTACCGACATAATAACATCATTAGCTTCAGCACCAGAGACTACAAGCATGCAGGTGGTTTCAAAGTAAGTGATCTTCTAACTCACTGAACCTAAGGTGACCCAGTCTCCAGTTCTCCAGAAGGGTCCTAGGCTCCGTGCCCTGGGAATGCCCTCAGTCCTGACGTAACTGAGATGGCTGGTCACCCTGCACTCCAGGAATTTCCAGCTACTTGGTGTTCCTGCCACACCACCTCCTCCTGGCCAAGAGAACATAGAAACAGTTTTCTTCTTCAGACTTTTGCAGCATACTGTCTCTGTCCCCTCTGCCTAGGACACCTGTGGCTCTCGAGGCAGCCTGGTGGCATACTTCAGCTCTCCATTCCTTTAGGTCCCAGCACTTCCTTCTGACCGTCCAGTGGAAAGGAAAACCCCACCACATGTCCTTGTTATCTGTGAATGCGATTCTGAGCYTGTCTTCATTGTACTTCGTAGCCTCCCACTGGGTTTCCTTCCTATCTTTTCTCCCAAGACTCTGAACTCCACAAGCACTGTCCATCACCTGTCTTACTAATCACTCTGTACCCAGCATCTCATAGGGTCCCTGGCACACACTGGGCAGATGCAATGAATTTAATACATATTTGTTGATTCAATGAATCAATTAGACATACTCAAATATACGTCGGGTGAATGGAATACTGAATCTTCAGGGACTGTAAACTAAGTCATTCACTGTTATAGTTTCGATATGAGTCGTCCCCCCAAATTCTTGCATGAGCACAGGAATGTCCAGAGGTGAAATGATTAGATTATGAAGCCCAATAGGTGGGGAGACCAGGGGAGGCTTTGTTAGACTGAAGACACAYTCTGGACAATGGTATTTTTTTTAGAGTCGTCAAGTTGACCTTGGATTTCTAGATGGTTCTTCTGGGTTTTGGTTGGGGCTATTTGCTGCCAAGCCCTTGCAATAAAATCTAAGAAACGAAGAGAATGCTTGCTGTCAAGTATTTTTGTTTGTGTTTTTTAAAGTTCAAATGAATTCTTTTTAACATATCAGTCATTTAATTAGAAAATTTGCTTCACTTTGTAGACATCTCTGTAATTTACCTCTGGGTACTCAGATTTTCTGAAAAAAATTAGACTTTATAATGAGATTGAATAAATGATTAATTTTAATGATTTACTCTCTTCAAGAAACATGGCCTATCTGGGAAAGTAAGCACTTCATTTCTACAGTATGCCTAGTAGTACTCATGAATGGACGTATATGGATGTTTGCAATGCTTTTGAAAGCAATAGATGATGTTGCAATGTTATCTTTTAAGGACCCAAATCCATTCATTAAATTCTGGAACCTTATCTTTTGCTATTTTTACAAGTAGGTTTATTTCTTGTTCCCAAAGATCATCCATTACCATTGGCCAAACACTCATCGTGAAATCTTGGGCTGCCATTCACACAGTAGACAATTACAGAACTGGGTCTAAAGCCAAGGCTGAAAACAATTGCCTCCTTCAGAGCTCTTGAGTGGTGGTGGAATTGCCTCATGTAAGCTGTCTCTGGGGTAAATACCTCTGTTGCTGGAATGTGCTTATCACTTGGGAAATGTGAAAGATGAAAAGCTTGGTTCCTCCAGGTTTGTGCACGGGTAGATTTTAGTCACCAAGTGATTTCTTGACTCCACCTTTGGTTTTCATTTTCACTTTAACTTCTCTCTTTAATTTCACCCATAGGGAGAGTGAGAAAGCCTGCCTTTGAAGAAAACACGGATCCTATTTATTTGGATCCGTGTTTTACTGAAACTTGTCCTTTCTGAATTCTATTGTCCCTGTGGACGGTCCACAACAAGATGTCCTACTGTGATAGGAATTGAAATGCCATAGCTAGATGTCCAGGGTGGGTGTGTGGGTCTGTTTTTTTTAGAAAGGAAGAGCACTGAAAAGGCTGGTGTTCTAAATAATACAATTTGATTTGAAATCCATGTAGGTACCTTAAATTTTGTTTATATTTTCTGTAGAATTTGTTGGTAAACATCTGAAGTAGAGACTTTGRAGAAGTTTCCTATATTTCCTGAATCCTAATCTTCTTATCTGTAGGGTGAGAAGGTCAGACTGGTGTTTGGGCTCGCTCTCAGGGTCTACATATGAGGGAAACTTTTTCCTATAGTCCTAGATTATTTATATGACAGATTGAAAACATCTTACCGCATTCCAGTGTCTGACTTCATTCCTCCAATGGATTATTATTTTTTTTCTTTTGGTACTAGGGATTGAACTCAGTAGCACTTGACCACTGAGCCACATCTCCAGCCCTAGTTTGAATTTTATTTAGAGACAGAGTCTCCTTGAATTGCTTAGTGCCTCACCATTGCTGAGGGTGGATTTGAACTCTGGATTCTCCTGTCTCAGCCCCCCAAGTGCTGGGGTTACAGGCATTGTCACCACACCTGGTGTCCAAAGGGTTCTTTATAAAAATGAGGGGAGGGGAAGAAGAAGATTGAATCATTTTGGAGTGAGTCTTGATGAAAGGGTGTTGTCTTTAAAAAATTTTCTTGGAATCMAATTTAATTTCTCTTTAGATCTCATGGAGTTACTTTCATCCATGAAGGGAGCATGGTTACTTGGGCCACTGTGTCTGATTCCATCTCTGAAACCAGAACCTTCCCTCTCTGGTCTGGCTAGGAATAGGCTTAAGTAGTTTGCCAGAGAGTCTCTCTCTCTCTCTCTCTCTCTCTCTCTGTCTCTCTCTCTCTCTCTCTCCCCCGCAGGCTCCCATTCATTAATCTTTTCTTATTATTTTGCATTCTACAATTGTACGGAGTTATTTCTCATTTTGGGTGTTTGCAAACTGTGTATGTATGTCCACATGCAAGCATTCCCAATATACAAACACAACACTTGGGTGAATTGTGAAATGCAATGAAAAATTTCCTCAATCTCTTTAATTTTTTAAAATTTGTGATTCCTAACTAATGCATTAAGTGCTTGGAGGGCATTTTTCATAAATCACTGTGGTACAAATACAACAAAAAGATAARATGTGAACATTCGTCATTTGACCAGTA